TGCTGCTGCTTGTCTGTCATGACTTACTTTGAAGCCACCTTCTCTGCGTGGCCCATGCTCGACTGCTTTCTTCAGCACGGGTAAGTCTGCAGCATCCACTCCAGTCATTAGCGTGTGCGAAAAACTACATTCCCAAGCACCAGTGAGTTAGGAACTTGAGTCTGCAAAACTATGCAGACCCAAAGGAGCATTAGAGACAGCTCAACACCCCCTCCAAGTACCAAGCAGTACTGGCTTCCTTAATTGACGTAAACTAATCGGTACTTCCCCCCAACTCCTGCAGAACAGTGAGCGTTGAACTCCAATGTTTCAGTATTCTTCCCTCAACACGACATCAGGAGGGAAAGAACAGTTTACCCAGAGCAGCTTCTTGACTGAGGAAGGCAAATCACAACCTCTGAAAGACCAGCAGAACGTTTGCTAGAGAGGGAGATGGTGGTTAAAAGGATTCACTGTGCAGGGAGGGAATTAGTATGGGAACCCTCAGCATTTTTCATTGGGAAAGGCTGTGGATCTGAATGCAGCTCATCTGGGTCAAGACAAAGCTTTTTGCCAGTCCAGAGCTTACTTAAACTTGCTTTTGGGAGCCCTCACCAGAGTATCTGAATACTTCCTTCTAAGAGAGGAGCAATCCATGAAGAGCAGAGTGAGTGTTCCCCTACTGTGAACAGAGACCCTCCTTTTTGCACCCAGTCAGGACAATTTTCTAATTCAAAGCACTTCAAAAGGAGACCAACATACCGCACTGCCTGCCTTACTCACACTGTCACCCTAAAGGGTCAGAATACTCCAGTAACGCGCAACATAAAGAACTGACTAACCAGCACCCTCCGTACCGTCCCAAGGTCCACCCCAAAATAATTTGCTTAAAGCAACGTCACACTCCATGCAGCATCTTGTGTGTGCTTAGTGCAGGAAGCATCAACCAGCAGGAGGTACGTACGGCAGGTGTAAACATCTCTGTACTCCATGTGCTCGTAGTCGGGAAGGATTTTCATAAAACGCCCCGACTTCACTCGTGGGTTTATACCTGAACAGACACAGCAGGGTAAGTACCAGCGAACTCTGCTCCATGGTAACCAGCACGTAACAGTACGATGAATCTGGACCGACCACACAGGAAAGTCAAACTCTCTTTTGACCTTACTTCCAGTTGTGCTGCACTGTTTGTTTCCATCAGCCCCAGTCTCAGGTATGCTCGGTCAGCAGGATTACTCACACGGAACTTGGCATGTTCAAGATTCCCACAGACAATATTTACAAATGGCATCCAGTGAATTCAAAGTGGAATCAGGGTCCCCCCCAATCTCTGTAGTGCGACTGTAACGAGCACCGCTGTCTCAGCAAGACCACTTAGGCCAAGCAACTACATGGACAGTAGCCCAGACCTTGGGACTAGTTATGCTTTCTAGCTCTTAAGCTCAGTTCCCCATCCCCCATGCTACTTCTTACAGAAACACATTCAGTGGACAGAAAGGTGCGTGTGAGTCCTGCCAGTAGCCCCAAATTAACTCTTCTGCAATTAAAGAAGTTTATGGAACAGTAGAGAAAATGGGGTCACACCACCAGGAAACTGTTCCACTAAGTGCTTGCAACAGGGCAAACTGCTGAATCTGAGCAGGAGAGCTAAGATGGTGCATCCCCGAAAGCCAGAAAACAGCTGCCAAGCATTCTGACTTTAGAGTGACCATTGCTAGTTAGGATTGCTGAATGGATATGGACACAGTCCTTACTCCGAAATGCAACAAAGTCTATCACAGAGGTGGTTGTCGCACGTCAAGCGCGGCTTTGCCAATGGATGCTATGGATTCAGAAACTACTTTGGTGCAAAGGAAGACTGGAAATATACGTGTAAGACAGATTTATTGAGGGCTATTAAATCAACAAACCACATTAGACTCTGGAAATCCCTGAACCTGAGAACAGTCAGAAGCTGGGAGAGTACTTAGGAAAGTATCACATCGGCTTGCCCTCTTCTCGGTCTTCCCTGGGTGACTGCTCACAGCCATGGCTGGGAGATACAGTACTGGGGCTAGAGAGAGACCATCGTTCTGAGCCAGTAAGGCCATTTTTACATATAACGTGTATAAAAAAAAAAGCACTAAATATCACTTTAATATATCTGAACCGTGGAACCATTGTAGTGAAAAAGACTGCAGGTCGTGAAGAGATATTCTGCCATTTAAGACTGGCAATGCAGAATTAAGATCCGATATGGTATGTGCCATATGGCTGTTACCACACCAGTGTCATACAGAGATACCGGATTGAATGGGAAGTAAGGGAGGCCTCAGGTGCTAACGAGACTTCTCTGTGAACATCTAAGTGCTGGCTCAGCATCGCTCAGCCCTCCCACCCAGGAAAATTATGCAGTTCCAGTCCTAGTGCACAAACAGGTAAATAGGGACACTAGGTGATGAAATATTTTGCCCGTGGATGCTCAGCAAGTCTATTACAGATGGGATTAAAACCCTTCTACCTGTTCTTTTTTCCAGCATTAAGGTCAATGCTTGAGGTCATCACTGTTTCAAGGTTCAGCAAATACAGTACATGTAGAAGCTGAGCCGGATTTTGGATCTGCAAAGCCTACAGAGACCTCTCATGACTGTAACCTGGGACAATGACAGCTTTTGTTTCATAAAGCAGGACTTTATTTGAACAGCCAGAAGCCATAATTCATGTGCTGCAGGTTAAATCTTGTTCTTTATCCTATGGACCACAGGTAACTCCCTTACAAAATTTGTGGTGGGGAACCAAGACAACACAGCCTGGCAGTGCCGGTATGGGAGCTCTTGGGGGCTTCGCGAGGCTCCAGCTCAGCTTCTGACCGCAAAGGGCAAGGTTTGGTGACAGGGGAGACAGCCTCACCATGGATCCAGGCCTGCATTCAGTCCTTGGCCTACCTCGGTTTCTCTCCTCTGATGATGCCCCCTCCCCACTCTAAGACAGTTACAGAAGGCACAGTGGGTCTAAGGAGTTGGGGTCCCACTCCCACAGATGTTCCTAAAACACACCGACACCTCAGCAGAGGCCCAGCCCTGCCAGGCTCTCCTCCTTCAGGAGCAGCCTGGAGGAACACTCGTCTTTTTTCAGCACTTTCCCATTGTCAGCGTGTTAACGGCATCCCTTCACCGAGATCGAGAGTTAGCTACTTTAGGGCATAGGAAGCCTCCAGCTATGAAAAATATCCGTTAATTCCTTAGCAAGATCTAAAAATGGCAAAACAGGAAAGGATGAAAAACCCTCAATACACTTTATTATTAACTTAAAATACACGCTCTTTTCCTGCCAAAGGACTGGGGGACATAGACTTCCCAATTCTTTGCATCTGCTTAGTATTAAATAAAACCCCAAAAACGTCAACTTCACAGATGAAACCCCTGCCATTAGAAAGTAAGTCTGAGTAACCTGTACTGTCAAAGTTTAATAAATATTCAACATGTATATGCTTTCAAAATTGGTACTAAGCAAGGACATAGAGATCTATATCAGCTTTATCACTTACGCTTGGCATAAACGTCTCGACAGGACACTCCGGTGATCTCCAATTTCCGCAAGTTTTCACAGACGCCATATTCTGCAATGACACAGAGAATAATGTCAACTCTGGCACAAAGGTGTTTGCTACCCATGATCTTGATATCTACTCTTTGAGCAAAAATGAAATCTTGTTAGGTGGATTCTTGCAAGCTGCCACATTAGTCTGAGAATCTTACTGCTACTTTGAAGAGAAACCAGAAAACTAGATGTACTTATATTGCAGTTTGGGAACCTAACACATTTTACAAGCAATGCCTGCAACAAACACACCGTAAGGAACACACAAACACAGCAAAGTTACAGATGCTTACACCTAGACCAGAAAGAGTGCGAAATGTGGAAGATGTACTCATTCCAGCTGGAACTGTATGCCCATTTAGATCAAATCATGATTGTGTGTAGTAATTATCTACTCCCACTGAGGTATCCAACAGGGAAAACTGCTTATTAGGGTCCTAAAGAAAAGGTCACAGACTTTAACAAGAATGAAACGGAGACATAAAACAGGCATCAGCATGTACAAATATGGTTACACTTGAAAGCAGATCAAATTGAGATGGGTCTGTTGTACGCTCAAATGCCTTTGATTGCTTACAGAACACCCTGAAAACAAAGCCATCCTGAGATCTTAAAGGCAGCTTTGAAGCAGAAAATGAGATTCTCTCATTTCATTTTCAGGAAGTCAACGCCGAACTTCTAAGAAACTTAAAAAACATAAAAGCAAGTACTAACATCTCAGTGCAAGAAATCCTTAGAAGACCAGAGGGAGGATACGAGAGGAGGGAGATCCCAAAAAGTCATCAGCAACCAAAAACACCCTGCTGCAGTGACCCCGTTAGATCTCAGTACGGAAAACTACCCTCCTTGACATCAAAGACATCTATACCACAGATCAAACACCAGCTTTCCTTAGCAATACCAAACACCTGCCAGATATTTGATGCAAAAGTGTGTCTGTGAAGACCCTCATCAAGTCATTAAATATGAAACTTATCCTCGGTCGAGCTTCCTTGAATTAACAATCTACCGTGGCTGCCAAATACCACTACCTAACGCTGGTAACCTGCCGCAAACTGAAAATTCATTTTTCATATATGAGAAAAGCAGAAGTTTCCCTGAATGAATTCAACCTCCTCCTGTCTATAAATACACTTGCGGTACACGTACACGATGATAAAGCACGCACAAAGCTTACTGTCAGCCCACCTACAGGGAATACACATTCTGCATAACATCACTTCGGGTAAGCAGCAAGTTCAATAAAGGTAAGAGCGGGCAGAAGGTACAACAAACACATTGCCCTTCATTAGAAGAT